AAGATTTAGATGGCACCAAGCACATGAGATTCATTAATGGCAAATACTTAAAAAAATATGTTCCTTCCTTATGGGAAAGTGAACAAATAAAAACATAATCAATATGAGCGATTGTAAATAATAAGACAAGAACGAAGTACGTTCAAATAAATTCCTTTATTGTCAAACACTTATTACAAATTGTGAAATATAAAGTACTTAATGCTCTATAAGCTACAATCGTGAGCAGAATATTCCTTTGGTCGATCGCCAAGTAAGAGGGTGAACTGGCCTTTATCGCCGTCTTGATTCATTAATGGCAAATACTTAAAAAAGTATGTTCCTTCCTTATGGGAAAGTGAACAAATAAAAGCATGATCAATATAATTGCGATGAGCGATTGTAAATAAATAAGATAAGAACGAAATACGTTCAAATAAATTCCTTTATTATCAAATACTTATTACAAATTGTGAGATACAAAGTACTAAATGCTCTATAAGCTACAATCGTGAGCAGAATATTCCTTTGCTCGATCGCCAAGTAAGAGGGTGAATTGGCCTTTATCGTCGTTCTGATCGCGCTGCTGCAATGGCAGGCAGAGAGGCTAATAGGCACTCTCAAAAGGCAAAAAGGCTGAAAGGTACTCTCAAATCGCCTGCCTTATTGCATTGCTACAATAACAGACAAGGAGGCTGAGAAGCACTCTCATCAAATTAAGTGGCCTGAAAGGCATCCTCAAATCGCCTTCCATAATTGAACTCCTTATGGAGAACATGGAGATACTGAGAAGACCTTTGTTGGCCAAATTACATTTCATATATCTCCCATACCAAAGGCGATGTCAAGATAAATAGCAAACCAAGTAGATCAATTGATCCATTTCTATCGGAAATGGAAGTGTTTGATCAACTGTACGAAGTGCCAAACAATGACAACAAGATAGTCTTTCTGAAGGAAAAGAATGAGAGTCAAGATGATAAGTGCAAAACACATACGCATTTATAGAGACGTGAAGATGAAATGGAACAATATGAACGGCCACATACGTGCATTGTAACTGAAATTAATGGCCCAAAATCTTGGAAAAAGAGATGAGAATACCAAGGAAGAATCTACATGAGTTTTAGCATAAGCAATTAAATGCTTGGGGGTTGATGATTAAGGAAAACGTCAATTAATGTGTAAGTAAATAAAACAGTTGTTCATTAATGACATTGGCAACTGTTACATTCAAAATTAGCAATGACAGCCAGTGCAAAATTACAAAAGGAAAGTAAAGGCATTAGATATCTTAACTACAATTTGCCCCAAGCTGAACGCATATGTTCCCTAAGCCTTAACCAATCCTCGTTCTATCTAGAATAGTTGGTAGATACTTCAGCCACAATGTTGTCATCAATCTTCATCTTTTTGTAACGTTCAAACAAAGACTTGGTTCGCTCTACTCCTTGGGAAGCATTGCATTTTTTGGCAGCCATCCAGCCCATCCTAGCTCTGCAGTCATCCATTTTTTTCTTGAAGTTCATTCATC